CTTGCCCTGGACCCATTATTGAATGTGTCGAGGGGGGCTTCTCATTTTCCATATTCAAAGTTACGGAAAGCTAGAATGTTGCTCCATAGACAATTACTAGACAGGAGGACACTTCACCCCCACGATAAAGACTATACCTTTTATTCTACAAATCATAACACTTACACCAGGATTGACTACATCTTTTGTTGCACAATGTGCTCTTTCACAGCTCTCCTCCATCTCTATATGCTCTTTCATGATATCTGATCATGTTCCCACTCACTGCTCTCTGGAGCTGGGTGATCCATCCTATCGAGCATGAAATTGGAAGCAGAATGAGTCTCTTCTGCATATAAAAGTTAGGTCACATAGGAGTTAGACTACTTCTTTGCAACTAATGCCTCCGAGGGGACCTCTCCATTCTGACTCTGGGAGACCGATAAGTGTTTCCTCAGAGGAATCCTAATCAGCTTGGGAACCCATAAGAAGAAAACTCTTGCCTCTCAAATGGAATCTCTACTGACAGAGATCCGAGCACTGGAGAGTATACATAAGAATTCCCAAGCACAGCAGGTAGAAGAGAAGCTCCAAGTCTTAGAGACAACTTGAATTCGCTACTTACTGATCGAGCATAGGCAAAACTTGCCCGAGTAAGGAGGGCATTCTATGAATACGGGAGTAAACCCAGTGAACTTTTGGCCAATGCCCTTAGATTGGTCAGAGCGAAAACGTATATTTCACAGATCAAATCTACTGGACAGACCTTGCTTTCCTCATCCTTGGCAATTGCCCAGACCTTCCGAGAGTATTACACTTCCCTATGCAACTTAGCAGGAGGCGACTCCTCAATCTCCCTACAGGAAAGACAAGAGGCTGCTAGAGAATACATTCAAGCTTCAGGAATGCGCGTCTTATCAGCAGAGGCTATTTCAGACTTGGAAGCCCAATTGTCAACTGACGCATTTCTGGGGCCATTGACATCCATGAAATCTGGCGAGGCCCCGGGACCTGACGGCTACACACTGTCCTACTATAAGCCTTTTGCAGATAAACTGACCCCAAGATTTACAGCAGCCTTTAACTCCCTTTGGGAGGGTCATACAATTCCAGAAGCCTCTTTACTAGCCCACATTATGGTGATACACAAAGAAGGGAAAGATCCAGCGCTCTGTCCCAGTTATCATCCTATTTCTTTACTCAATGTGGACCTCAAAATATTTACTAAAATACTGGCTTCCAGATTGTTACACCTCTTCCCCTTGCTGATGCATCCCGAGCAATCAGGACTTACCCTGGACAGGGAATGCAGAGACAACATCCAACGTGTTCTGGCTGCATTCTAAATCGGAGACCCTTGGTATTTCCATAGACCACTCTCTTCAGCAGCAGATCGCTTCTCAGTTCCACTTTCAGTGGACTTTATCTCATATAAGATACTTGGGAACACACATTCCCGGGGATCTAAGATGAGTATTTGAACCTAACTTTGCCCCTCTGGCACGAAAAATCAAACTAGACCTTAAATGATGGGATAGGGAAGTGTTTACCTGGTTTGGTCGTATCAGCATTCTAAAAGTGAATATAATGCCAAGATTTAGCTATTTACTGCAAGCCATTCTGGTAAAACTCTCACCCGAATTTCTGCAGGGGTTGAGATCTTCTCTCTTGAAATTTGTCTGGGCAGGCAAACTAGCACGTCTCCAGAGCAATATTCTTTCTCTACCTAAGGCAAGGGGAGGAGCAGGCTTCCCTGATCCGTAAGATATCAAGAAGCAGCACATCCTTTCTAGGGTGGTCGACTGGTGCGTAACACACAACGCAAAGTTGTGGGTACACTTGGAAACCATAGACTTGCCTCTGGCTGGTCTTCCCTGGCACCCTACAATTTTGTTGCTTATGATGATTAGACACCATCTGTTCGTAGGTGCAACACTTCAGGTGACCAAAACTGTCTTTAAAACCTCTACTCTCTTCTCTCATCCAAGCCCTACGACACCCATATTAGGATCGACCGAATTTCCACCTGGGCTCCAAGACCCTTATTTCACATCTCTCTTAGAGAAAGGACATTTCCGGGTATTACACTTTTCCAGAAATCACTGCTTGATGATGACCCATGAGATTGAGCAGACCTTCTTGCTCAATGTAGATTTTTTAAGGAGGGCACAATTGGGAGCATACTCTGCCTTCTAAATTCACTACTTTGTGGGAACCTTCCTCGTTCGAACGTACATGTCTGACAGGCGAGTCTCTATGACACTCACTTTCTTATCTTTATGCCTCACTGAACTCCCAATCCTGCAGCACTGGGAAAGGGATCTGAATACAACTTTCTCCCAAAAACAGACAGAATTCTGCTCTTTGCTCATAAGGCCTCATTGGCTAGCAGGTACCAGGAGGGAGGATACAAACTTCTTACTAGATGGTACAAGACATCGGAGGCGTTTATGCCACATGTTCCCGCAGGTCCTGAATACTTGTTGGAGATTTCAGAACTCTGTGGGGTCTTTACTTCACATATTTTGGGAATGCCCCAAGTTGCAAGATTTCTGGACCATGGTGGAGCAGACAGTAGAGATTCTTACGAGAGTCCCTCTTGGAAGTAATCCCTTGGCTTTTCTCCTACATGACACACCTCTTTAAAATAAATGCTGTAAAACTCTCTATTGAAACACCTTCTTAATACTGCAAAAGCTTGCATCCCAGCGCTGTGGCAAAGTACTCTCCCCTCTAACAAAAAACACTGGCTCACCCGAATTAATGAGATTCAAGAGATGTAAAATGTAACTATGATGCTTAACCACTTCAAGTCCGGACACTTTCATCCCCTTCCAGTCCAGGCTAAGTTTCAGCTTTCACGCACTATCACATCCCATACTTCTTTTACAAAGACCAGACTGTGCTGGCCTCCCAAACTTGAGTCGTGGAGAACAATTGCTCCACCCCACATGCTCCCTAGTGGGACAGCAGGATTCCTACAGGCTTAGGGCCAGGAGGATTGATGGATTTTCTTTCTTTTTATCTTGCTCTTATTTTCTTATTTTTCCCCCCCCCCCCGCCCCCCATTCTTTTTATCTCTTCTTCTCTCTTTTATCTATTACCGTATTTTTCGCTCCATAAGACGCACCTGACCATAAGACGCGCCTAGGTTTTAGAGGAGAAAAACAAGAAAAAAATATTCTGAACCAATGGACTGCAGACATAGTACAGGAGATGACCAGACACTGCGGACAAAGTACAGGAGATGACCAGACACTGCGGACACTGTACAGGAGATGACCAGAGACTGCGGACATACACCCTGTTCCAAATTCTTATGCAAATTCTATTTAAGTGTCACAAAGATGAAATATTTAGTTTTTTAGTGTAACTCATGGATGGCATTGTGTGTTAGGGCTCTTTTGATCACTGAACACAATCTCGGACACCTGTGATAATTAGATTGGCCGGTGAGCCCAATTTAAGGAAAAACTACTAAAGGAGGGTGTTCCACATTATAAAGCAGAGCACCATTTTCAAGCAATATGGGGAAGAAAAAGGATCTCTCTGCTGCCGAAAAGAGTGAAATAGTTCAATGCCTTGGACGAGGTATGAAAACATTAGATATTTCCTGAAAACTTAAGCGTGATCATCGCAGTATTAAGAGATTTGTGGCTGGTTCAGAGCACAGACGGGTTGGTGCAGATAAAGGCACATTGAGGAAGATTTCTGCCAGATCCATGCATCGGATCAAGAGAGCAGCTGCTAAAATACCATTACATAGCAGCAAACAGATATTTGAAGCTGCTAGTGCCTCTGGAGTCCCATGGACATCAAGGTGTAGAGTCCTCCAGAGTCTTGCAACTGTGCATAAACCTTCTATTCGGCCACCACTAACCAATGCTCACAAGCAGAAATGGCTGCATTGGGCAGAAAAATACATGAAGACTAATTTTCAAACAGTTCACTGATGAGTGCCGTGCAACCCTGGATGGTCCAGATGGATAGAGTAATGGATGGTTGGTGGACAGCCACCCTGTTCCAACCAGGCTGCAACGTCAGCAAGGCAGTGGTGGAGTCATGTTTTGGGCCGGAATCATGGGAACAGAGCTGGTTGGCCCCTTTAGGGTCCCCGAAGGTGTAAAGATGACCTCTGCAAAGTATGTGGAGTTTATGACTGACCGCTTTCTTCCCTGGTACAGAAGGAAGAACTATGCTTTCCGTAATAAAATCATTTTCATGCATGACAATGCACCATCTCATGCTGCAAAGAATACCTCTGCATCAATGGCTGCTATGGGGATAAAAAGGAGAGAAAGTCATGGTGTGGCCTCCATCCTCCTCTGACCTCAGTCCTATTTGGAACCTTTGGAGCATCCTCAAGCAAAAGATCTGTGAGGGTGGGAGGCAGTTTACATCCAAACAGCAGCTCTGGGAGGCTATTCTGACATCTTGCAAACAAATTCAAGCAGAAACTGTCCAAAAACTCACAAGTTCAATGGATGCAAGACTTGTGAAGCTGCTATCAAATAAGGGGTCCTATGTTACAATGTAACCTGACCTGTTAAAATGTTTAAAAAGTTTAAATTTTGTTAAAAGTTTGATTGAAATAGCTTTTGATTTCAGTAAATATGCTGCAAACACAACAAATGACAATTTTCAGTTCTTTACAACGTATAAAGTGTTTTGAAACTTACTGTGTGTAATAATTTGGAACGGTGCATTGTAAGTTTTTATGTTTTAAAAAAATCCTGTTATCAGGAGGTTTGTTCAATAAAATGTGAATTGTACTCTTAATAGTTGATAACATGAAAATTATGCTGACTGTTATTTACATCAATAATTTAGGTAAATGACAAAAATATAATTTGCATAATAATTTGGAACAGAGTGTAGTACAGGAGATGGACCAGAGACTGTAGACACAGTACAGGAGATGACCAGAGACTGCGGACATAGTACAGGAGATGACCAAAGACTGCGGACACAGTACAGGAGATGACCAAAGACTGCGGACACAGTACAGGAGATGACAGAGACTGCGGACATAGTACAGGAGATGACCAGAGACTGCGGACATAGTACAGGAGATGACCAGAGACTGCGGACATACTACAGGAGATGACCAGAGACTGCGGACAGACTACAGGAGATGACCAGAGACTGCGGACATAGTACAGGAGATGGACCAGAGACTGTGGACACAGTACAGCAGATGACCAGAGACTGCAGACAGTACTGGGGATGACCAGAGACTGCGAACAGTACAGGGGATGACCAGAGACTGCATACAGTACAGGAGATGACCAGAGACTGCGGACATAGTACAGGGGATGACCAGACACTGCGGACATAGTACAGTGGATGACCAGACACTGCGGACACAGTACAGGGGATGACCAGACACTGCGGACACAGTACAGGGGATGACCAGACACTGCGGACACAGTACAGGGATGACCAGACACTGCGGACACAGTACAGGGGATGACCAGACACTGCGGACACAGTACAGGGGATGACCAGACGCTGCGGACACAGTACAGGGGATGACCAGAGGCTGCGGACATAGTACAGGAGATGACCAGAGGCTGCGGACATAGTACAGGAGATGACCAGAGACTGCAAAAAGTACAGGAGATGACCAGACACTGCGGACCTTTAGGGAGGGAGGGGGAGCGGGTACCTGAATTTGACAGGTACCCGCTCCCACTTCCACGGAATTCTCCTTTCTATACTTGTGAATGGGCTGGCAGTTTTTGGGAACTGTCATGTGTCCCAGAAGACACCGGACCATTCACAAAGCGCATCGCTTCTCACGCGCATGCGCAGTGGGCACCCGGCTGTCACAGATGCCGGGGCGGGAAGACTACAGCACTGGACCAAGGAACAGGTGAGTTCCTGCCGCTGCCACAGAGAACAGCTGAGTGGCCGGCCCGGTATTCTAACATGGTGGCAGCGGAAATACCGGACCGGCCGCTTTATATTCGCTCCATAAGACGCACTGACATTTCCCCCCCCCCCCCCTTTTTTTTTTTTTTTTTTTTTTTTTTTTTTTTTTTGAGCGAAAAAAATTTATTTATACGGTAATCCCCACGCCTTTTCCTTTCCTATTCTTTAATTCCTCATGTTGACTATTTATTTTCTAAACTGAACTTTCCCCACTGGGGTTGATTGTTGTTTTTCCTTCCAATGACAAACATTAAAAAAAATTTAATGAGCACGTAGTATGTTTTTGGGATGTGGACAACTGGAGCTTCTGATTTTTTTTCTGTCATACTAATTACACCAGTAGTTACTATATTGCTTTGTACAGTTACTCATTTATGTATCATATGGTGTACAATGTTTCTTCTACATTCCATTCGGTTGTATACTTGTTGACATATCATGTCATGCTATTTCTTCAAGATAAAGAATTAAAAAAAAAAAAAACGCCTAAGCCGCGTACGTGTTCTATCTCAATGACTCAAAGTATTGAAACCAATGGATCTGCACAACACCCAGGCAGCTGACATTTTCTGCAAATTGCAAATTCCATTATTCTGTTATGCCAAATTTCCTCTCTGCATATACTAGGGATATTGTAAGGGCCTTTCCCACAATCGGGCTACTAAATGGCCCTGAACCCAAAAAAGTGAAAATGTACTATGTTATATGGTGCATTTAAAAATGTTAATTGTGTAACAGCGATACACTTCCTGGTATATGTGGGTACCTAGGCACGCCTGTGTCTACAGCCTTATAGTTGTATATCTGAAGTGTGAGCTCTGTGGCACTGCTGCTTTTGATTGAGTCTCATGAGATTTGGATAGAGATTTGATGATGTCATTACTGAAGGAGAGGAACCTAGGTTGCATGTGTCTTTCTGCTTCATTTATTATGTGGAGCTCTGCTTTGTGAATATCTTCTGCTGGTTTGATTTGGGCATAAACTGGACTGCCTAGAGATTATTATAAAGGTTAACACAGGTGCTTGCAAACCACACAAGGTGTTCTTTCTTTGACAGTGTTGTCACCTTTGGCACCTTTTCAGCCAGATCAGGAACACCCTAATAAAACAAATAGCAAAGCACAGTAAACCATAACAGCCACTCAGAAGCCAGCTATAATAGGTCACAATAATCAGAATTAATATTTGTTCAATATAATCAAATATAAGCTTGATTGACATACTGAATGAAGAAGTATTTTACCAAATTCTAATAAAGTATTTACATGTATATTTAACATGTAGTATAATACTAGACATGTGATACCATACATTGTTTGTTTTTGTTCTCAGGAATTTCTCATAAAGTTGGTCACAGACAGCAATTCATTCTTCTTTCTTCAGCAGGGGGTTCCTGAGTACCTATCATTGAGAATTTTATCACTTTACATACTATAAACATGCTAAGTATGGAGGGCCTTTCCAGCTTACACTGCACAAAGTGCTCTGGGATAGCTTGCCGTGTACCTCCTAAATGATCTGACACCTATAGCTTGGATCTTTGTCCACTACTTACATCCGCATACTCCTTGGAGTCCTCTTTTATTTCCCTCAGGTGTGGCTCCCTCCTCTAAATTGTTCAGGGAGGAATTTTCTACAACTCTCTGCGTTTATGGTAAAAATGTTAACCATGTTAGCTGACTCAGTAGATGACAGTATGCTCTCATACCCTCTCCTCTAGAGTCTCTCTGATCTGAGTGGCTTCAGCCCCTTTGTCAGCTGGGGATTTTGAAGTGTGTACCCCTTTTACTTTGGATGAGTTGGTACTTGCAGAGGTTCAGTCTGTTAAACTATCTCTAGGGACATCATTTTGGTCCTTGTTGATGCAGTAACGTTTCCAGCCTGTTAATACTTTTACAGTACACTTTCTACTGCAACCTGTTTGGTATAATGATTGGCTTAATCCAGATAAACTATATACTCCTCCCAAACACTTTGCTCAGTAGTATCGTATTGTGAAGAAATTCCTTAAGAGGTGGGCTGTTTTTGGTGTGGATCCAACCATTTTACTTTGGATGAGATGGTACTTGCAGAGGTTCAGGCTGTTAAACTAACTCCAAAGCCCATGGACACCATTTTGGTCCTTGCTGATGCAGTTAATTTTGCAGACTGGTAAAATGTTTCCAGTGCACTTGCTACTGCAACCTGTTTGGTTTAGTGAATGGCTTAATCCAGATAAACTATTTCCTGCTCCCAAACACTTTGCTCAGCAATATCCTATTGTGGAGAAATCACTTAAGAGGTAGCCTCTTTCCATAGTGGATTTGACCATTTCCTACCTTAACAAGACTCTTATTTTTCTTGTGGAGGATATCGTAGTGTTTAAAGAAGGCCTGGAAAGCTATCAGCCCTGTCCAAGGCCCTATTCTCCCTAGGGGGCCCTGTCCTGCAACCTGCAATAGCAGCCATGTCAACATCTAGAGATCCTAAATCTATTGTAGTTGATTCTTCGTTTCTTCCAAAAGCTGGAGCTCATGCCTGTGGGCTCATACTACTGCATTGATGGGATAGTGGATATTATACACCTGATATCCAGAATGGGTCTTCTATCTATGTACTTGCGGAGGACCCTGTGGCTCATATATTGGTCTGCGGAACATCAGTGCAAGACGCCCTTGTTGAATATGCTCAATGATGGGGAATACCTCTTTGGAGCATCCCTGGGCAACTTTATCCAGGACACTACAGTAGAGAAAAGCACCCTTTTGTCCCAGGAAAAGAAGGACACGCCATTGTCTGAAATATCCCAGATTTCTGAGGCTAAGAAGAATTTTCTTTTTTATCCCCCAAGCTTGAATCTCTGTTCCATTGCAAGTCTTGGACTCTCAAATCCTCCAAACTTGCAGACAGACCCTCCTCATTTATCAGAATTGGGGGATGTTTGACAGCTGCCCAGAGCCACAACATTTTAGACCAGTTGGGACCAGTACATTGTATCCAGGGGACACAAGCTACTTTCAGATACTGCCTGTGCCCCGCTTCATGTTGTCAAACCTGCCAACGTCTCCACAAAGACTAACACGGGATCATAGCCATTAGTTCAAAGCAGAAAAGGTTTTAGGGTCTTTTTCCCATACTGGATTTAAAGATTCTCAACAGTTTCCTTCAGGCACAAAATTCCAAATTGGAATTTGCAAGGTGAATCATTGCCTCCCTCCATCTGAGGGGCATCACAGTGGACAATGGGAATTGCTTACTTGCATGTCTGGTGCACCAACACAACCTGTGATTTGTGGTGGGCATGCAGTAGTTCTAGTTTGTTGCTCTTCCTTTTGGCCTTGCTACTGTACCTCGGGTCCGCACCATGGTGCTAGCCATGTAAACTCTGCACGTTCCAGGAATTGACAGGCAGACTTTCTCAGTCAACAACATCTGGACTCATGGGAATAATCTCTACACCCAGAAGAGTTTCAAGACCTCTTGCAAGTGGGTGAGTGCTGAATGTGGCCCTCTTGGTTTCCATGTTCAACCACCAACTAAACAAGTTTGTCTCCAGGTCCAGGGATCCTCTAGCTATGGCAGGGGTTGTACTGATTTGTCCCTGGGATCAGCTCAACCTGATCTACTTTCCTACTGTTCTACTTTCTGCCTCTGAAGGTTCTTCCTCTTCTACTATGCTGAATCTAGGTGGAGGACATTCAGATGATAATCACACCAAACTAGCCCAGGCAGATGTGATACTCCGACCTCATAAGACTCCTGGGGAACTCCCTGTCTCTAACAGCCTTGATGTTGAGGCCCAGGTCCTGGCTGACAGCAGGGATGAGTTGCAGTTGTAAAACATGCATAAAACGTGTCAAGCACTTACAAAGTTGCACTGCAGCTGCACTACAAAATTGCATTGAAAATCTGATCAAAATCGCACTGCATCAGTGTGAACCTACCCTTAAGGCTGAGTCTTCTGGGTGTATGAGCTCTTCTTGGGCTTTTTAGCATTAGGAAACTTTGGAATGCTTCGACCTGGATTTCTGTTCATACATTCTCTAATATAAGTTATAAATAAGTTTTACCTAATGGATGTTCAGGCCTCATCTGATGCCAGCTTTGGCATAAGTTCTATGAGCTTCAGGCAGCCACCAGTTCCTGTTGTGTACATTAACATTTGTTTGCTGTGTTTCCCTTCCCGGTTGGACTGCTTTTGGGTGTCCCAGAGGTTAAGGGCTCTTGGGTGTTCCTCAGTGGATGAGAAAGAAAATAGGATTTTTGCCCTTATTTATGTATGATTTATGTGTTTTTATGACCATGCTCTCGGTATAGCTTTGCTTACATATTGAGGCATGCTAGAGGGGTTATCTTGAACTAGTTTGTTTGCCAGAGTCCAGTCCTCCTGTATGTGGTAGTATAGCTTGAAGATGTCATCTGTCCCTAAATAGAATCAAAATTCAAATAAAAAAATGAAATTAAAAATGGATTTAACAGAGTACAAAAAGCATATTTTATGTGCGTATCAACTTCTGCTTCCTCTACCTTACTGTCCTTTTGAAACAGTGTTATGTATTGGTATGCTTTGCAATGCGTATGAAAACATAGCTTAAATATTCCATGTCTATAAATGTATATGCATGCTTAATGTTGGTTGCATAGAAAAAATGTTTTTATACTACCCTAAAAATAGTCATAATTAATT